ATTTACCATGAACTTTTACTTTGTATCCCACCGCTGACACCAATGTTACGCAGGTTTTTGGTATCTCAATTTACTTAAACTCAACTTTTACAACAACTATACAACTGATAACATTAAAGTTTAACGTCTGTCATAAAACTGAAAACTCTGACGTCAAGTCGTCGACTTATATAGCTTGCTTCAACCTTCTAGAACCTTCTCGAACAATCCGAATTTTTCTTTGACAAGGAATGACATTTCGAGATATTTCTGGAATATTCCATCTTCTACATTTACTCGAACATTTACTTATGACGACCGTAGCACGCTGCAGGGTGCTGCGTAACAATATTTTGTATTTCTATACCAATTTGCAATATTTTATAATCCGTTATTTACTTTTTCCCAAAAATTCCTAAAACTTTATATTCCTCATCTCTTTCCATTTTAACTGATGGGTTTTTTATCCTGATATAAGAAATATTCAAATTCTTTAATATAATTTAACTAAAATCTAAATTTTATAACCTTCTTTTACAATTTAAATATGTACCGTTATTTGATTAAATTAATGGGTTTACTGTTTACAGAGAGTAACAAGTTCAAGTCACAAAAAAATTTGACAGTTGGTCTAAACTTTTAATACAAAATCAGAACCCCTTTTCCCAAATTTCTGGCTACGCTACTGTGTAAGGTATCTGTTGTTTAGCTTTATTTTCAATAACCTAGCAAAATAATTCAAATCAATAGATCACACAACGGTTTTAAAAAGGATCAAAGGGAGTTCACTATAGATAGGTCGTCTTATTCTAATAATCCTTCTCAAGCTGGACAAACGCGTTCGGTAAAATTCTACAGGATATAGGGTTATGCCATAACTGACCTTTGTTTTCCAAAACAAACGGGTAGTCTCTAGAACGCTATACCTTTATATCAGATTAATAACCTGGGGAAGGAACCGCGCTTATCTTTATCTTGAAAATTTATTATTCCCGGCAAAATTGAATAAAGAGAGCGAATAATTAGTAACGTCTGTGAATCGGGAAGGACCTTTTTGGGACGTATAATTAGAACATGGTCTATAAATTAAAGCGAAGAAGCTACGGAATTACAATTGAAACATGTACTGAATTCTGTCAGTCTGCTTTACTTTAAGCAGTCCATTTCGTTAACGCAACTGGACCTAAATCAAAAGAAATGGTTATAGTATTTACTCGGGAAAAATAACAAATTCGCATTGATTAGGTAAAGGTAAGGTTGAAAATGGTTGTGATGATTTCATCGCCTTCCACTGCGACTGAAATGGATCTATTCTGTCGTGATAAGTATAAGAGTCGTATCTGCATGTTTGGAAGATTTTGAGATTTTCGGTTATATCACATCAGTTCAAGGTTTTACGTCTATTTATTAGTTTAAAATGTCGTATAACTTTTATCACTGATCAAATAGTATATTACATTACGAGTGTGGAAAGTGACATTTTTCACACGAGTGGGAAATATAGTCGCACGAGGCGCAAGCCGAGTGCGACTATTACACGAGTGTGGAAAATCACTTTTCACACAAGTGATGTACAATATTTTTCCTACGACCACAAAATAATGTCATCAAAAAAATGTAAAACCAAGGTTATTATTACTATAATAATTAAAATGTATTTAAAAAAATAATCAACAATAATCGTATTTATTCAATTTTCATATTTTCTAAACAAAAAAAACTAAAAAAAATAAAAAAAAAATAAAAAAAAATAAAAAAAAACAAAAAAAAAATTCTGCCCCGACAGGATTTGAACCATAGATTGAACGCGGTCGAAAAATGGCAAAATTGATAAGTTCGACGTCCTAATCAGCTGAGCTAACAGCCCTTGTGTCAATTGAATGATCTAATCGGTTATGTATTTAACCAAAATAAAGAGCAAACATTATTTTAAAATTATTTTAATAATAATTGTTAAAGATAAATATCTAGGATCTAATTTACAACAATTTCAATAATTTAACAATCATATCGATTTTAGTATTAATATGGATATTACATAGATCAAAATAGAAATTAGCTTACAAAATAATATCAAAAAAATGTAAAACCAAGGTTATTATTACTATATTAATTAAAATGTATTTAAAAAAATAATCAACAATAATCGTATTTATTCAATTTTCATATTTTCTAAACAAAAAAAACTAATAAAAAATTAAAAAAAAAACAAAAAAAAAATTCGGCTCCGCCAGGATTTGAACCATAGATTGAACGCGGTCAAAAAATGGCAAAGTTGATAAGTTCGACGTTTAAACCAACTGAGCTAATGGGCCTTACGTCAATTGAATGATCTAATCGGTTATGTATTTACCCAAATTAAAGAGCAAACATAATCTTAGTTATTTTAAAATTATTTTAATAATAATTGTTAAAGATAAATATCTAGGATCTAATTTAAAACAATTTCAATAATTTAACAATCATATCGATTTTAGTATTAATATGGACATTACATAGATCAAAATAGAAATTAGGCGTTTGACATTTTTTGACAACTACTGCGGAAAGTAACATATTCTCACTTGGGTGGAAAGTAAATTCTTAGTCATACGCGTGTGATATTCGCTCCGTGCGAAGTCATGGAAAGGGAAGCAAAAGCGATACTAGCGCTAGCTGCGGATAATTCGTGCATTTTAGGGGGATATTTTGTAATTTTGGCATATCAAATACACGTATACATTTTACTTTTTTTCAAAAAAGTAGGTAAAAACAACACAATAAGCAACCGGAGTTGCTGTGTTGAAAATTGTACAAATACTAGCAAAAAAAACAGTGAAACTTATATAACAAATTTCACTAACAAAGTGGAAATTAAATCAAAGAAATAAATGGATAGGTGTACAATAAGAAGAAAAATTACCTTTATTTTTGTGATAATAACAGTAATGCTGGAAATAGTAGACATCAGAAACTAGAAAGTTTTTAAATAAACAATAAATTATCATTTTACGATGTTCTTTAATATCCCTTTATTCTTAAATGTTCATTCAGCAAAGACTAGATTTCAAGATTTCTGCCGTTGATTATAATATTTGGCTGGTATGCAATTTTGTGACTTACTGATCGGAAACCAGTTTTAATCATTCATTCTATGTTTTCTTTAGAACAAAAATGAAAATATAAGTAGCGATCCTTTTTATACACTTTAACTTCACGCTATTATAAATAGTTTCTTCAATGACAACTTATTAGACTTAGGCAACTTCTCATACATTTTCCAGTAAATACTGTTGCCTGCCTATATTTTATTATTGATTTTTAATGATTATACATAATTTTCTTCAATTTAAGCGTGAAAAATATATAATAATAATAAATTAATGTTTTAATTGTTTTATAAATCCATATACTTTTATTAAAACTAACATATATACTTTTTATTTACGAATTCTATTAAAAATTGTATTTGTCAGTATAGGCAGAAATACTCCTTTAATACCAAAACAAATTGGCGCTGCTGTCGCGCACGGAGCGAATAGGACACTTTCCATAGGACTATATAGTGTGATATGTGTCACTTTCCTAAGTGGTCGTAGGAAAAAATCATATTATTTCTTTGTCGTATGTGAAATTATCATCAGTTTGTTGAGCATAATTGTCTAAACTGCCGTATTTGCAATTCAAGTACGACATATATTCTTAACAATGAAGTAGATACGACAAATCGTTCTAACGACGGATTTGACGCGAAATCTGACAGTTTGAGTATTCTGACCTTGTACATAACCTCAAAAAAGTATTTACTTACTTCTGTTCAGATTATGAAGACTAGGTTCAGATATTTTTGTATTTGTTTTAATAAAATAAGTGAACTGTGGCCCTTAACTTATTGTTGAAGTGAACGGATTTAGAGCAAAAAACTTTTATGTTAAATATGACAGAAAAGAAAAATGCAAAGAGAAAGGTACCTTTAGATTCACAAAGGTCAATAGGTTTAACCTACAGTAGGCCTGCACAACACAGATTTTCAAAGGGACAGTCAAAAACCGTTAGTGTACGAGGGCCAAGAGAGGCCTGAGCCTATAGTGGTCTGTTCAGATTCTAAAAAAAGGTCCTCACCTTATAATTTATAAACCAACTCCTGCTGGTCAAGCTTCTAACAAAAAAAAAGGAAGGGTCATCAGCTTATAATGAACCAGGTTCTTCTATCGAGATCCTAAAAAAAGCAACGGATGCCTAAATGCAATTTTGTAACTGAAAAATGTATAGTTTGACATAGGCGAGCCAAACTGGTCAACGGCCAACGGGCGACGAAAACGATAATGGCGGGCCGCATTGCTTATTTTGTGGTTGAACAACTGTGCAGCCCAAAAGAAAAACTGAGCCTTCTTTAGTTTCTGCGTATATCTAGTATATTCTGTTGACGTCGCTTTAAACTCTTTAACTCTAAAATATTTTGAACCGGGGCATACCTTCATGTCAGCTGATTCTCTCCATCATCAGATAGAGAAGTCCTTGAAGCAAATGAAACAGGTTAATGATTTCGGAAATTAATGAATACGAAAATGAGGGTTAAAACTGGCAGTAATGGTTGAAACACCCCTAAAATTGCAAAAAACACCCCTAAGTAGGGGTGTTTTTCGACTGTACTTGTTGTTTTACAAACTAACTCCTCTCATATGTTTTTTGGGTCGCTGATTACGAAAATGGGGGTTAAAACTTGCAACAATGGTTAAACGACCCCTAAAATTGCAAAAAACACCCCTAAGTAGGGGTGTTTTTGACTGTACTTGTTGTTTTGCAAACACTTATCATATATGTTTTTTGGGTCGCTGATTTTGAAAATCGGGGTGTTGAAACTGGAAAATTTGTGTGACACCCCCGACATGCCAGAAACACCCCTCCCAACCGGTGGATTTTGGTAAAAAATGAAATATAAAATACAAAAACTGAAAATGGAATATATTTTTATTATTAGATATGAAATATGACAAGTATCAAACTTCTTACAAGATATCACTATTCAGTTGTATTCAAATCTAGTCTTGGTATTTGCATGGAGAAATTTCTTCTTCGTCGTCAAATTCTGTTGTTGTTTCGGCCCAATCAACTTCTAAACTTATCTGTGAATCGCAAAAATCGCTTGTATCCCAATGATTTTCAGTTTCCTGAATCAATAATTCTGGCTCAAGTTGTAATTCTATTTGCTCTTCAAAATCTTTGTCTTCATCAAAGTCTTGGATAGTCAACATGTTTTCGCTATTCTCGCAGTCTCTGTCTTTATATACTTTGCAGAATTGGGTGCAACGCAATCCCATTTTTTTGCAGAAACATTTCTTCGTACATCCCCTCTTGCAACTGCATGTAAACTTTTTTATAAATTTATCAGGTAATAATGGTTTTGAAGTAAAAATTGGGACGAGTTTATATTCGACTGATTTCCAACCCCAGTCAGTTGGATTCAATATATTTAAACACCAATCCTGACACTGGAGTTATACGCGTAAAGAATGTTCGCGGATTGCCAGGTCTGTCGGTGGAAGTCTTCTTATATTAATATCACTCTTCATATTCGCATAACATTGTACTCTTATTGCATTAAAATTATTTACGGGGACTCTCTTTCACACGTATACAGTACTTACAATATCTAAGGTAACTTTCCACAAATCGTCTTTATTTATTTTACGTTGATAAAAGATCTGAGCTCTGTTAATTAAGTCCTCATCTGCAGCAACATATTTAAAAATGGTATCTTTTGTTTTTTGATAAAATGCGCAATTTGTATCGCAACCGCTAAACGCGTGAAGAAATGCAATAGTTTCTTTCAAATTCGGGTACTTAAAACTATTTACATCGTATATTTCATTTGAGGATCGACCTCGGTTAATTTTTGTAAAAACAATATCCAGTCCTTCATAAAATTGCGTGAGTAAGACAAGTACATCGATGTCGTCGGCAATTATTTGGACGAAACTTCCTTTTCTTGCTTCATCAATGGCTTTACTTACAATGTGGATATCAGCATTCTCTTGAGCTTAAAAAAACGTTTATATTTGCATGTTCAAAATGCTCAGTCAGAGCGCTGATTAGAAGCTTCTTGTTGTCTTTATTGCTTAGAAAATCTTCCAGAGAAACTCCACATTCTTTCTCTCTAGCCAGAAATAGCATGGACGGAGAGTAGCGTTTGTTTGACCTTCTTGCTCTCTCAAAGCTTTTTGTAATGTTGTCTGAAGGGTAACCATCGAAAACTACAACACATTGTTTATATTGTGCAAGGTAAATTCTATATTTCTCAATGATCATTTGAAAAGTGTCCGTCGCTTTCCAAACCATCCTGTGTAGTAAAAATCCGCCATCAATTACAGTCATAACATTTGGGGATTATATAGTCATCATTTAGATCGAAGCTGGGAACGCAGCCACTTCATAATCAAGATAATCTCCAGATTAACTTCATTCTTTCAAAGTACAATACGACGAAACACATCATTCGCATCAACAGCAATACTTTGATCATTAATTATTGTAAATGAACTCATAGCTGACAAGGGAAGTACTTTAGTTGTTCTCTTCAGAGACAACTGACTGGAATATTTGTTTGTTACACCTCCTAAAAGTTCTATACCTATCTCCTGAGCCAAGTGACAATTGATAGTACTGTTTGCTATTGCTCCTGTATCTAAAGAAACTACATAAGGATAGTAAAGGAAGGGATCATTTCTATCAAAGAATGCACTTAATTTTAAAAGACCTTTTAGATCAGTTTCTATCCGACTATCCCTATCCTCAGGATGCCGTTTTTTGTAATTTTAGGGGTGTTCTAACCATTGCTGCCAGTTTTAACCCTCATTTTCATAATCAGCGCACCCAAAATACGTAGGGGACAAGTGGTCTCATCAAGTGCGGCGTTTCTCGACCTTTTACCATTATTTTAAATGGACTACTATTGCTGTGAATTTATTGGGCAAAAAGTGTTTTTGTTTTTAGTTACAATTAGAAATGTTGTTTTAGTTAAATACCGAAAATGTTGTTTATGTTACACAGAGTAGATTATTATATACATTTAACTCGAAGTGTTGTAGTTTTTCTATACAGTAGGTGGTAAATTACGACTAATCATGTTAATATTTTAGTTCCTCATTGTTAAACAAATTTGCCACAACTAACAAAAAATCGTTAAGCTCCAAATTTGCAAAAAACAAGTCTATAGTTCAAATTCTATGAAAAAATATTTTTTCTTTAATTTGATGTCATCGACATCGACTACTAAGGCCATTAACCTCGTGTTCTGTGTAGGCTTTGTAACTGTTTCCATCGCCACTTTAGAAACAGCACTGTTAATTAGAACCCAACAGTGAATGGTCGAGTGGGGAATCCTACCACAACTTATTAACTTTGATTTCCAGAATAATAATACTTACGATAGCAAAAAGATTAACACTTTTTTCTGATTTTCTTGAAACTTTTGAAAATGCAGATACGACTCTTATAGTCGGTTGGCTTCAATCGGGTAAATTCGAAGATTTGGAACCTAATTCTTTCCATAGCAAACCAGATACATAGAATGGTCTCTGCGGATTTGTCTTCCACACTGTAGAATCGACAGTCTAACGGTATTTGAATGGTAGTTTTCTTCATCCTCCGCTCAAAACGTTTAAAGATGTATAAAACGACTTAGGAAGGAATTCAGATATAAGAGTTTTCCCAAAAACAGAAAGCTAGACTTCATACAAATGTCAGAAGACAAGTTAAAGACAAGTTATAAAAGTAATTTTAAAAAAACCAACTTATTCATGCAGATGTTTTTGGACCTGCATGGTCATTCAATTTTCTGACTGGTTCTACGAATTTTTTTTTTTTACAGATGACTGTAGCGGCTATTAAACTGTGTATTTTATGAGAATTAAATCAGAAATAGAGTCACCACCACTTTTATTTTTTTACTCTAGTATTTTCCTCTGCTAAATCAGTAATACATTCAACTTTACATTTAAATTGAGCATATTATTTAAATCTTCTACAAAAATCATCGGAGAGTACTTTTAGATTTCAGATCAAAGAATCAACAAGCAGTAGAGGCCATCTATTTTTCACAGTCGACAACTGCACAATACCAAAAACCCAGGAAATTTAAGAGAAGCCTATTTCTCCATAAGTCGTCTGCCTGGTCCAGGCCTATTTTTTTTTCCACCGTTATCTCCACCAAACACGTTCATGAATTCTGTAATGGATTTCAGATTTGTTAGGATCTCGTGTTCATTTATTACCATTGTGTTTAACATACAGAGTTCACCATAATTGCAGAGCAAATGTCGAAGGATTGTGAATAATGACTTGTCAAAATAAATTTATCCTATCTGCCTAAAATTTTCAATGCAATAAGTGCGCCAACATTTTTATATATTTAACTAATTGCCTATTGTTTTAAAAAACATGATTATCGGTAACCAATTTACAACGTCATGTGACAGGCATCAATGCTGAATTTCAGCTTAAAAAAGCTTTCCTTCCCTTGCTGATTCTATTTGTAGTGGTTCGAGGCCACATTCGAGACACTCTGTACATGGATTTATCTGAGCCGCCCTTATGAAAGCTCATTTCTGAATTTTATGTCTGTTGTGTTTACCAATGTGCCATCCAATTTTTTCAAATTACTTTGACGTTAAACGTCACATTTTTTATTTGTATTAAAATGTAATATTTTTTTTATTAATTGACCAAAAATGGCGAATTGTTTGAAGCTGATTTGTTGTCTTTTCGGAATGTTACTCTCCATACCGATTGCCATGATTGCCGGACTTTTTTATTGGCTCTGTTTCTGCTGCACGGCCCTATGCGAATGTTGCGACACTATCGCGTGTTATCTGCTGCAAGCTAAGCAAATACCGGGACGGTGTTTGGCGTGCGTTATGAGATGCGGTGATGATCCGCCGCCCTGCTGTTACTATTGTTGCAAATAAATTGTAGAAATTGATAATAAATTGTAAGTATAATATGCATCTTGATTTTTATTAACCTCGAACTGACCGAAGAATAGTTAGATTATTATTTGGCACGTTACATGCCAAGGGGGTCCTTATATCTATATATCTTTAGATAATTTAGGTGATTAAGGGGTGGTTCAAAGCTCACTTGTGCTGAAGCTCTGCGCTTAATGTACCCTCTGTTTCTACATCATCATGTTAATAGTCTCAAATTCAAGAATATCTATGATGTGCACTTTCGAGATTCTTCGGGTTACAAATATTGTACCCCGAATTGCCATTCCCTTCCAATTTAACCCGTTAGTGCCCCAATTATTATTGTTTTAAATATAAGTCTATATTTAATATTATTGGTCTCAATTGTAAATGGTATACATAACAAATAGGTACAAGAAAAAACGTCGTCGTACGAGGTGTGGCATAAAAGTAATGAGACTGATTTTTTACTTTACAAAGTTTTTATTTCTTTCAAACATCACTGTTATCCCCTTCAAAGTAGTTCCCTTGGGCAGCTACGCACCGATGAAGACGTTGTCCCCACTGTTCGTAGCAGCACTGGAAGTCATCAACCGTTATCGTTTTCAGCATGTCCGTTACAATCTTTTGGATGAAATGAAATGACGGCCTTTGAGCACATTTTTCAGTTTGGGAAAAAGAAAGAAGTCACAGGGACTGAGGTCAGGGAAATAAGGGGATGGGGAACCACACGAATACCTTTTAAGGTCAAAAAGTCTGTTATGGAGAGGGCAGAGTAACATGGGGCGTTGCCATGATGGAGCAACCATTTCTCTGCAATCTCTGGTCTCACGCGAATGGCCCTTTTTCTGAGCCTTTCAAGGACGGCTCAGTCACTGTGAATTTTTTGTTTAAAATCATAAGTGAATTATTTTACGTAATCAATTTTGAAATATTCTTAAGAAAGTCAGACTTAGAACACATTTTTCACATTATTGATGTGTAAGTATTTTTTGCTTTGACTGGTGTTTTTATTATAAAATGATCCAGTCTAATGATCCAGTCTATCAGATCTAATGGGAGCTATCCGATGATGCAGCAGATAAAGCTATTGCACGTTATTTGATTTATTTCCTATCATCGATCTACAGCGCGCTTGCAGCTTTTTCTGCTGATTCATCTATATGGCTACAGACACTAAGCTTATCATCGATGGCAATTCCAAGATATGCAACTTCTTTGCCATTTTTAAATGTCTCCACATATAAAGTTTCTTCAATCTTAGCAGGTTCCTTTTTCTTGTGAATGCAATAAAAATTTTTTCCCCTTTGAAGCATCATTTTTCGATGATATTTAGTGCCTGCTGTGAGTGATGTGTCCTTTTAGAAACAACAGCCCCAAATGTATCGCTTACTACCATGCTAATGTCTGCAAATGCTTGCGCATATAGATGTTCTCTCTGTAACTCCCATAAAATATCTTCAACCATCAAGGTTTATATTCCTGGTAGTATTTTCTAAACATAAACTTAAGCCACTGCGTTATGCAGTATGTTACGCGACGCCTGTGCATAAAATCCAGCATTAAATTGTTGTACAAAGCATAATCAAAGGCTCCTTCTACGTCTAGGAATACTCCTAGTGCCACTCCATTGCCTTTCAATTCATATTCAGAATTTTGAGCTTGCTTATGCATCGCAATACTTTCCAGGCAAACTGGGATTGATGTATCGTGTTATCCCCTAAAACATCGTCCCGTTTCCAAGGTTTTTTGAATAAATTATGATTTGGAATAAGCGTCCTTAGACCGGCTGCATATATCAGATTTCTCTTGAATTAGTAGACCCAATAATCAAATAGCAAGCTATCTGGTTGCGGTCGCACATCCGACTTTATTTGGCTAGGTAATAGTGGTGTTGCAAGATGGGTTCTATCAAAATAGGTATCAGCGAACTACTTAAGGGACACATGGACAAGTTTAAGAAGTAAATAGTCAAAATATACAAAATAGACAGGGGTAGGTGGTAAAGGAACCAAATTTTTTGATATGGGAGGCTTAAGGAATAAAGATTTACAACGTCAGGTCAGATATAATT